CCTCGTCCTCTTCAAGTGTTCCTACGGGAAAACAGTTGCCTAAGGCTCCTTTCCTATCGCAACTACAAGAGATTGAGGCTATTCTTGATGAATATTTTGTTTCTTCTCCAAATGGTGGTACTCACCTTTATCTAATTAAATTGGCTTGGGCATCCAAATTATGATAATTCTTGGATTTCTGAGGAACAAAAATGTGCACTTGATCCAAATTCTTGAAGTGGCATCTTTAGTCTACATCGTTCGAGTCGTCTTCTCTGATGGGTGAGAATGATGCAAAACCGATAAAGGAGAACAATAGTCTTGGGAAATTTTACACTATATCGAATTGGAAATTTTAATTTCTTTTTTTCACTAAAAGGAATAGGAAATTTTAATTTTCCTTTATAACGTTTTGGAAAGTTTTATGATAAAAACAAATAGGGAGATTTCCTAATTTCGTAATTCCTTCCATTTAACTTATTTTCTTATTTTAGGTTTTCTTTGTTTACACTAAAAGAAAATAGGAAGATTTCCTAGTTTCCTTATATATTTAACTTATTTTTCTATTTTACTAGATTTTCTAGATTTCCTATTTTTTATGTAATCTGGTGTCTATAAATAAGGTATATTATCTTATTTATTAGATAGACTACTTATTATTATTATTCAAATATATTTTGATTATTGAGATGCAAGAGCTTCAAGTTTTTGTTTCTTAATAAAATTTATTTAAGTTGTATCTTTAATCTCTCTTCATCCTACATCACTTGGTATATAAAAGTGCCACTGTCATGAAGTGTTTGCAGAGACATACACACCCAAAATCTGCATTCCTCCTCGTCAGTGGGAAGATAGAATTGAATTTCCGTGTTATGGCTAACCATTCTTCATCATACTGTAGCTCATAAGGTCCTGGCTCTGATTCAACTTCCACAATCTGAGTAACAAAGTCGATGAACTTAGCTACCTATAATCACAAGAATTAAGTATATGGCCACAGAGGAAAATAATTACAGGAATTACCTGTAAAAATTTGCGGCCAGGAAGGCATTTATCAAGTGCCAGAAATTTTGTCAGAGGCCCACTCTCTCCATGTTGAACGACAGCTGCAAATTTGCAGTGTAGATGAGCAGAAAACCAATAATGGGGTTTCAGTTTTTCCAACAGTTGGGCAGCAGGTTTACTTCCAAGAGTTCTTTCCTGAATCTAAGTGCATTTTTCAACCACAAAAGTAGCTGTTGTAAGTCACTGATAAATCAACTTGTTATTGAATAGGTGGAGTAAAACACATCAAAGTCCCGCAAGATTTTGTCATTTTAGTGAACAATGCCTTACATCATTTTAAACTATTCAATGACAGAAGTCGCGGAACAGCATTTTCAACTTTAGATGCATATAGAATTTTCTCCACCATTCTTTTAAGAAAACAATCTGGACATAAGGAGGCATATTACTTAAGAGATTGCTTCACAGAACATATACAAGCAATAGAAAGAAAAATGCTTCCTCCTCTCTGTTCTACACAATTAAATTCATAATTTTGCCTTTAAATCAGATGAGTCAATCCAGGCCAAGTGACTTCTACAGTTCGAAAATTCTTTATACAGTTCTATCTCAAAATAAGATCTAGTGATGGGCACATCAACTGAAGTATGAATCTTAGCTTCCACATCCAGATGCAAAACATATCAACAATTTAACAAGTAAATTCTGCAGGCTGAGGCAGGGGTATAGTCATCAAAGCTCATTACTGTATCAGTATATCTTAAGATACTATATTTACCTCTTTTTCAAAATGCCGTTTTTGCTGAACAAGTTTCTTCCAGTCCCCATAATCAGTGATGCCAAGTGGCCAATCATGTGAAAGAAAAATATCAATCGGTTCATCAACTTGGAGCAGTTTATGGACATCATACTCACGAATGTGGTATACAGACCTAACAGTGTTCTCATTGTAAGGTGGTCTCTCAAAGTGTCCTGTTTGAAATGAAATCTAATTTACTTTAGTACCAAAAGCTAACAGGGAGACATAAATAGAGAAAATCTTTTTTTTTTTTCCTTTTGAGAAATATAGGACAATTTAGCAAATGTAATTGAAGTGGAACTAAAAGCCTCAAAGAAGGCCGTAGAATATGGTTATTTCAACATCCATCCGATGATCATTCATGCTAATGTATAAATGCACACATCTAACAAATGATTCGTTCAAAATTAAATTATGAAACAAGAAAGAAGAGAAGTGAATAACATCTTGACATATACCTACCTGAACGGTAATGGCGCTGATTGTAAATCCCAGACAGTCCACCAATTCGGATGTTACCAAACTTTACTACTCCAGCAAACCCCAAGAAGTATATATTAGGTGCTACCCATCCCCCATAATACCTAGGGAAACACCGAAGCAATATTTAACGGCACATACAGATAGATTTAGAAATTTATCATCTACTAAAGTTACTGTAACCTGAATCCTTGACATGGTAACTGTCATTACATTGCAATATCTCAAAATCCAATTGGCATTTCCAAAGCGAACAAAATAAAATATTGCGGGTAAAAATACAACATTATAATCAAAAGTTGAACTTCACTTACAATTCCCACAAATAATTGGAAGCTTCGTGATTCCCGCCGATGAATATGGTGGGAATTGGCGCAACTTCTTGACCCGAGTAGTATTTCCAGAATGACTTCATAGCCAGGTATTTCGAGGGTACACTTAGGCTTTCCATGTCTCTCTCGTTCCTCACAGCCTGTTTTGCCTAATCGAAAATTAGTTTCATTGCTTTTCGAAAACAAAAACCCGACAAGCACCAAAAGAAAAAAAAAATTGCACCAACTGGTCGAAAAATTGCGGTGACAGGGAAACAAACAACTTCTCACCTGGAAATCACCGCAACAGAGAAGGAGGTCGATTTTGGTGGTGTGAATCTGCTCCATGTACTGAATCGTCTTGTATACCTTGTCCAGGTCTCCATGCATGCAACCCTCCACTGCAATCTTCATCTTCGGTAGTACTGGCGCAGCAATTGCTGTAACTACAAATTTGCAGCGATAAGACCAGTAGAATTTACAAGTTAATTGCTTTTGTTGGGTTTTTCTTTTTCTTTTTCCTTTTGTGTTTTTGCACGAATTAAGTCTACAAAACGATGTCGTATGAGCCATACGACTTTCAACCTCAGAAGCACTTCAAGTAAGAATTATGGGATTGACGGTAATCGCTTGCAATCCTTTCAAACATCAAAGTGATTTTAATTAATTGACAATTTGAAAATATTTGAAAATTATAGTTATGATATATTTCCATATTTGAAATTTTTAATGTTTTAAAAAATTGGGTATTAAAAAATTGTAAAGTAATTTGATGATCAAGAGATTTTTAGAATAATAAAAACAAATTTTATAATTCTATGAAATTAAAATAATATAGATACAATTTAATATTATAATATATAACATTTAATTAATATATAAATATATTTAAACAAGTTCAATAAATGTTATAGTCTATGAAGAACATTGAACTGTTCAAGGATCGTCATCATCAGCAATCTCAAGAAGCCAAGTGTGCAAACTTGTCCAGATAAGCAAATGATCCCAATCAGCAATCCAACTTAGAACTTTGCTTCTAGACAAAGCACGTATGGCTGATAACTGGAACCATAATCGTCCCTTCCTAGTAGAGACATTGATGTCCTTCTTTATCTTTTGCATTTTCGGTTTTGATCCTCTGCAAAATATTTTTGTTTGTTTGTTTCCTTCTCTTGTATGGATTAACACCTTGTAAAGAACAGCCAAAGCTCTATAAATTCTGTAACTTTCTTGTTAACATTCAATCAATGAAAATACAAGCTATGAAATGTCCTGCTTAATCAAGCCAAAATTAAGCTAGCTGATTTCTTAATTTGGTATCAGAGCCAATAGAAATGGCATGAGAGAACAATAACTCTTCTAACTTCAACCCAACACCTCAAGGAATTCAAACATTACCCAACAATGCAATGAGCTCAATGTGTACACTGAAGCTTAACCATGACAACTTTCTTCTTTGGAAAAAACATGGTTTTCCCAATCATTAAAGGAAACAAATTTGAGGGCTTCATCACAAGATC